TTTGCCGACTGCCCATGTTCTGTGGCAGCATCATGTATCGAACAAATTATAAGGACTAAATTGAAAGAATTATATGGACTAAATTGAAATTAGGAAGAATAAAATGAACCTGTTTTGGGGAAAGATTTTGGGACTATGGTCGAGATAGAATTGTTTGATGTCTTTGGCAGAAAATAAGGGACGGTTGTTTTCATTTGGGGTAGATATCATGGCGGTTACAAGTCCTCCCGTGCTTGTCCCGGCGATCACATCGAAGTAATCTGCAATTCTTGCCTCTTCGCCATCTAATTTCTACAAAATCAACAAAGAGAATTATTTAATGATACATTAAAAATAGACAACATTTGACAATGTTTACGTATTGCTCGTCTCACTGTTTTAAAATGCGTTTTCTAGAGAGAGTTTGTCACATGCTTCGTTCTCCTCTCCAACTAATGTGGGATCTTAGATCCACCTCTTTAAGAACTCAGCGTCTTCACTAGCATTTGCAATAGTTCTATATCATTTGTAATAGTTCTAGCCCACCGTTAATAGATATTGTCCGTTTTAACCCGATATGTATCGTCGTTAGCCTCACGATTTTAAAACACAGTCTTCTAGGGAGAGGTTTCCATACCCTTTTAAGAAATGTTTCGTTCTCCTCTCCAACCAATGTGGGATCTTACAGTAACTTATCCTATTAGTTTTCTATGAACGTTATAACTAGACTATTAAAAAATTTATGACCCAATTTAACGAATTTGATAAACAGATAAGTCACGATCAAAGATCTCATTTTGAAAACACGAAATTTCACGAACTATCATGAGGTACATGTTACAAGTATATTCATAAATAAAACAACATAACAGTACCTGAAGTTCAGACTCGAGAAAATTCAAAATGACTCCGGGAATGATTCCTCTAATCCCACCTCCATCGATACTCAGGATTGTAATAAGGTCACCGAAAGTCGGGGGTTGAAATGGAACGGTTGCTTCCATGGCTAGTACAGAGTATTTGGGCATAGAGAAGAGAAGAAATTATGAGGTTTTTGTGTGAATTATTTGATGCTTGGGTGGGGCTATTTATACACATTCATCCCTTGAATCCTTCTTTGGATTTTTGGGTATTTTTTAGAAATTTCAAAAAGTTTTAATTTTCCACTTTGGTTGTTTTTTCAGTCATTCATAGGGCAAGAAAATCTTTTTTAATTTTTTTTTTTTTTTATCAATTTGAGCATAGTTCTGCCACTCGAGATATTATCACCTCAATCAAAATATTAAAAGTTTGAATTTTCTCTTCGTTATTATATTTTTCATACCCTCATCTTCGATATAAAAAAAATAAAAAAATCAAAATGGTATATAATAAGAAAATATTTATATCAAAATTTCTATTTTTAAAAAACATAGGTAAAAATATGATATTATTTTTACTCGGTTAAATAATTGGTTTATGAATTTACATAAAATTATAAAATTATAAATTTAGAGTTTACTTCCGAGTAGAATTCAAAACTATTTCCACTCCTCAATTGAATTTTAAAATTTTAAAAATTTTAAAGATTACTTAGAGGAAGTTGAAAATTTTATTAAATATAAAATTGAAAGTTTAGAAATTTATGATGTAAGATCACACGTTGATTGGAGAGAGGAATGAATCATTTGTTAGAAAGCGGGTAAAAACCGCTTCTTAACAGACAACAGACATGTGACCGAGAGGTCTAGAAGGAAAAACCCGAAAATTATATATATCGAAATTTATGGAGAAACAAAAAATGGTATTATCTTCGAGCAAAGAGTATGGACCAAATTCCAAGACATTAACTCCAAGTTTTGAACATCTTTACATACTTTTAATGCATTCTTCACCGATGAAAAAGTCCACATAATCCCGCCCGAACGTCACACCACATGAATATGAATGGAAAATTTATCGAACAATTAAAATATTGGGTTTAATTTTTTACTTTTCCTCAATTTGAGCATAGTTCAGTAGACGAAATATTAAATATCATTTTTACAAATATATAATTTAAAAAAAAAAATAGTTTCCACCAACTATTTAATACATTTTTCTATTATTCCTAATAATATGGTTCGGTAATAGATCGATTCTTCCAAAACACATCTTGTTCGTTCCTCTCGCAACAATTTGAGTGGCAACACGAGATTTAAACTTTCAGTCTCTTAGTTAAAAATTGATCTGTTTAAATCAATTGAATTATGCTCAAATTGACTCTTAAAAATAGAAAGTAGAGTCTATAAGAATGAGGAGCGGGAGTAAGTAAACGTAACAAAATTATTTTAAAATTAATTCAATTTTTTTTTCAATTTTCGAATCTTCTTTTTCGTTGATTTAGTCAACATATTATTTAAACAAAATGCATAAAATTAAAATTAAAAAATATATATTTGTAGTTTAATTTTTTTAGTCCAAAAGGGTAAATAAACGTCCACGATTAAATGTTCAAGCCACGCGAATTGACCGAGGATTTATGGGTCAACGCATGGAATTCAGTGGTCAGTTATGAATTAGTTTGATGAAATGACGTGGCCATTTGTCTTTTTGTTGGTCAATTGAGACCAAAATTTTCAATCTAGAAGGATTATTTTAAAATAAAATAAAATTATTTATTTAATCTCTAAAAATAATTACTTTTAATTATAATTACCTGCTCCCTAGAATTGGGACCAAAATTCCATTATATATTAGTGGAAGATTTAAAAATAAAAAGTTTACAATTCAATGCCTAAAATATATGGAATGTTCGTTAATGGAAGATGATTATATTATGACGATTGAATTAAAGTGCATGATGATATTAATTCAGGTTCATAATCTAAATTTTTGTATTAAAGTTTGGATATCAACTCGGGAGGTCATGTGATATATCGACTTTTTCTTTGAGATTTGTGTCGGTTTGAATTATCATAATATGTAAATTTTATTACTGATTCTTATTGGAATGACGTGATTTTAAAGTGATTGTTTTACAATCGAAAGAAAATGAACGAGTCGAGAAATTTGATTGATTTGGGATACTCTATTTTCACGTGGACTAATCAAAGATCGATTTGATGTAAAAAAAAATGTAAAACATGACCCGAAATCCAGTAATATTTCATAAACAATATCTAAAAACTAAGATTTGAATATTATAATATATTCTTTCACATTTAAAACCAATTATTTACAAAGTAAATCAAGAAATATATATATTATATATATAAAAATAAATAAAGTGAAGTGGAGTAATTTAGGCTAATTTAATTTCCATCCACAGCCTAATTTAGCTAACGCATCATTATCCGTCTAATTGGAGTTTCCTGTTAAACGAACCTGTGTGAGAAACTTGTTGTTGTTCTTTTTTTTGTTTTTTTGTTTTTTTTTTTTTTTTTTT